GCCACCGCGAGTTTCGCAAATGAATTTGGAATGAAAATGAAAATGAATTTGAAATGAAAATGAAAATGAATTTGAAATGAAAATGAAAATGAATTTGAAATGAAAATGAAAATGAAAATGAAAATGAAAATGAGAATGAAAATGAAAATGAGAATGAAAATGAAAATGAAAATGGAAATGAGAATGAAAATGAAAATGGAAATGAAAATGAAAATGAAAATGGAAATGAAAATGGAAATGAAAATGGAAATGAATTTGAAATGAAAATGAAAATGAATTTGAAATGAAAATGAAAATGAAAATGAATTTGGAATGAAAATGAATTTGAAATGAAAATGAATTTGAAATAAAAATGAATTTGGAATAAAAATATCCGTAGCCATCTCGGCCACCATACTATAGAGATATAGATGTGGAGATTTTGCGGGCGAAAACTCACAGGAGCAGTAGACTAGAAATTGAACTCGCAGTATAGATAGAATAACCATATATTGACTAAATAGAGGATAAAATATAGACAGCACATCGAAAAAGATCAACACCTGGGCGCAGCCATCTTTGATCATACGGAGGGGGGTCCAGGGAAAACAAAGAGTGTATACGCGAAAAGCGATAACGCGATATATAGAGTATAATAATCAACGCGTTTATGTACTATTACTCAGCATAATATACAAGAAGATTTAAATAGAATGAATAGTTTAGGTTGACAAAGGGAGGAATAGTTACTTAAAAACGAGTTGCGTCAGCAGGTGAAACTATTGCACCAGCTAACGAAAACTGCGTGGGGAGTAGTGTTTTGACGACGCGTACTAAACAACGGCACGTAGGCGGGCTGTGCCAGCTAGGTATATAAGGCGCGCCGAATCGCAGAGCAAGCGCGTTATTTTTCAGGCTAGGTAGGAAGAAGAAGAAGAAGAGAAAGTGGAAGAAAGCATTTTAGGTCTCGGGAAGAAAGATAGAAGAGGGAATAGGAGCACGGGTTTTCAGGTAGGTAAAACTACGGGTACAGGGAATAAAACGGAAAGGAAAGAAGAACGGGATTACAGTTAGGTAGAGCCAGGATCGACTACGAGGGAGACACTCGTGGATGCTGCCTAGGTCAACGCGGAGAAAGGACGACGAGGAGAGGAGAAGACGAAGCCGGCAACGCGTTAAGCCTTCTTTAATCTTAGTCTAGTGGTCATAGGATTCGCTGCATATACGAATGCAGTGGAATTATTTGTAAGCTAGTAAGAAACAATAAAACTATAACAGTACAGTTAACCGAATCTAACTGTGTTCTGTTCCACTGGTACCACCTGTTATAGACGCTACGGCATCACCGTCCTGCCTTTCGGCAGAAGCGAACACTGAATCCAAACTAAAACACGCGTTAACTATATAACGCCTGTCATACCGTAGTCGGCTACCCCTAGGGCCACTACATAGATACACTGCCAACCGCTACATAAGTACGCCCGTATACCTAGAACAAAGAGCCGACAAAAACAGCCACCGTGCCGCCTCTCGCGCCGCTCACTATATTATCGCCTATGGTGGCCAACACGAATATTTATGCATACTTTCGCGGCGGTGGCGCGGGGGGGGGCTGGGCGCGCCTCGCACCTTTCCTGACTCCGTCACACCTTCATTGAAGGTTATCTGACTGACACTATCCAAATTCACTGATCAGTCTACTAATGTACTCTACAAAATTCTATTAAGTTACCTACTTAATTGAGCTTCCTTTTTTTCCGTCCTTAATACACCCACCACCCCAGACTACCACCTCGTAATTGCCTGTAATGCCTGTCGTTAAGAAAAATATCGCTTTTCGGCGTAAGACTTCTTACCGCGGCAGTCCTCGTCTGCTCCGTAATACTTAGCTACAGTAGCGACACCTGTGGGATTTCCATCTCAGTTATACATAGCTAGTAGTGGCACCTGCAGGGAATAGCATTGCCGGGCGTTATATGTGTAATTATATAGCTGGACTGTATACGGAGAGTACGCGCAATATAGGGCTGCTAGCAGAACCGGGGCTATACACAATACATTTGACGGAGAATGCGCGTGCGTGTTTACCAGTGCGTGTATTTAGTATTTACACAGTAAACCGATGGCCGCCTGGATAAACCCATCTGAAATAAAATAAGTTTTGCTCTAGTCGCAGCTGAACGCGATATTAGCACTGACATGAATCGATGTCTGGCGTGAATCGACGAGGAGGACCAAGTGTGTTAATAGATAACCCACGCGGGTCTATAGGAAGCCATTATCGCTGGCGTGTAAAGTCGAGATTCCTTGGTGCATTGCGTCAACCGCATTTTGCCTTCGTGAAGCCATGATTCTTGGGACGGTGATTTTGTGTACGTGCGCGCGCGCGTGCGCGTGTGTGTGCGTGTGAGCGTGCGTGTGTGCGCGTGCGTGTGTGCGCGCGCGTGTGTTGGTGTGCGTGTGTGACTAAACCGTCAGCTAAGCTCGCGATATACTAAACAGGCTCCGTGGAACATTGTCGTTGACTACTTACCAAAAATCCCGCTCAGCGGCGCTGCGCTCGCGCCAACCGACGCTCGCTTATAAATGCGCGTGCTCGCTCATTTGTAACTTATTGCGCATTTTGCGACGTACGTGTGTGAGTGTTCGGCTCATCAGCCTCCAACTCGCGCGCGCGCTGTGTGTGTGTGTGTGTGTGTGTGTGTGTGTGTGTGTGTGTGTGTGTGTGTGTGTGTGTGTGCGTGCGTGTGTGTGTACGTGTGTGTTCGGTCACCCTAGGCGTAAACCGGCGCCTCTCTCCTTTCGTTTCTTTTATACGCACAGCTTTGCGCGCCACGAGGGGAAAATAAAAATAAACTAGTCAACAATTTAAAGAGAGTGTTGAGCGATGCAGTTGAGAGCATGCTATGGACATACGAGCACATTGGCTGCGTATATAACATACGCGACATATCCCAGTTGAACACACACTCCGTTTAATCACATATTTCGCTATTACATAGCGCGATGATGTCACATTTCACTTTACAATTTTGGAAACTTTCCTAAAACATTTACATACTGGCTATAGTTCAACTACAGATAGAGCTGTTCTATATTATAGTAGTATATATAACTAGAGCACTCGGAGAGCACAGACCTCCGCCAAGCGCCAGCTGCAATTCTATCACTGTGAAAATATAATTAATTACATTAATTAATTAAATAATTAATGGCATGCCGCTCGATGACGACCAAAAGTTGCCTAATCAATTCGTAGTTACCCGTATTTCTGAAACACGTATCCTAGAAAATTTTTAATTTAATTAATTAATAAATTTAATGGTTATCCGGATTACCACCAAATGTAAGGCCCGTCAGTGAAGTTAGCTACCCAGTTTCGCCAGTTCCCAGTTCCTTTTATTCGAATAAGGAACGAGTAACTAGGCAAAGCGTTACCAGCTTCCCGGCTTCCAGCTGCCTTATTGGAATAAGAGGAGACTTAGTAACTACGGCAAAGGCAGTTAGCTAGGTTCCCGTTCCCACATTTCCTTCAGTCACGAATAAGTAACTAGTAACTAGGCAAAGCAGTTTACCAGTTCCCAGCTTCCCAGTTCCTTATTCGAATAAGGAAACCGTATATGTAAACTTACGGCAAAGCAGTTACCAGTTCCCAGTTCCAGTTCCTTATTTTCGAATAAGGAACTATAGAACTACGGCCAAAGCAGTATATCAGGCCGTAGCGCAGCAGGGGGGCAGCGAGGGGCAGTTCCCCCCCTAGAGATTTTCAGCAGCATTGCTTTTAATGGACACAAATAGTCGGCAATCAGCAGTGGCGAGGCCATGGGGACGTTACCTTTTCCCCCCCCCCTAACAGAAAAAAAAAAGCATTTCCTGCGTATTTGCCCCCCCTACAGAAACATTTCCTGGCGTGACGCCTCTGCAAGCTACCAAGCCCCAACAATCAGCCAGCAGAACAACGAGCAGTTTACAAGTACCAGTTCGAATGCCCAACCATTGAACTGGGAACTGGTAACTAGGCAAAATATTACTAGTTCACTT